AACCCATGAAGGGATTTCCACATGAAAAGAGCTGACGGTGATGCCTAACCAGACCAAACTATTGAAAATATCAAACATTGTCAGCGTCAAATAACCCAAAACAGTTCTCTCCCTGTACACTCATCCGTGTGTGACACTTTTCCAGTCATGTAAATACGTGTATTCAGAAAGTCCAAGTGGCAGTTTGACTCATCGTGTGACCCCCGTTTGAACTTGTACTGTACTTAGAGAACTTGTGCAAGCGTTGAATAACAAGCAGCTTGGCGTTTGGGCTCTTTGCCGTGAATGTGTTCGTCGGGGGTGTCAAAACCACAATGCAGTGCTGATTCACACAGGATACAAACACAGATTAAAGCTGCGAGCAGCGTTGGACGGGTCCTCGCAACTCCGCACGTTGGGGCACAGGCCGGACGGCTAGATAAGCAGCCAAGAACTCCCGCGGCCGTCGGACAAAGCATCCAAGAGTCAGTTGTCGTTAACCGCGTGGAGCGACGCAAATGTCAAAGATTACCAAACCTCTTAAATCTCATTCACCAGCCTTAGAATCAATTTCAGATGGTATTTAAAAAGGAAACAACCAATAGCTACGTGATAATTCCATTTCAGGTTCATAGTGCACATCCCCAAGGTGTCAATCAGGGATAACCAGAACTTTCTGATGTACCGTTCCAAAATGAAAGCCTCTCAAAATACGACATGAGAGACAATTTCCTCACAATTGGACAATTCTCCATCACGAGACTACTTTTGGTCAATTGAACGTTAGAATTAAAAGGGAACTATCAATAGTTACATAATCATTTCACTTCAGACGGATAGTACACAACCCCAAGGTGTCACTCGGTGATAACCAGGACATTCTGATGTACCATTCTCGAAATTAAAGCCTCTCGCAATGCCACCTTCGTTTTTTACTGGATACTAGGAAATTTGACTTTCTGTTACCATGTAGGTGGTGCTATGACATGATTCAACTTTACATCTCTTCAGGCCCAGAGTGTCATCAAACATATGTAAATTGGAAAGAATCCGATGATGTCCGGTTTAGTTGTTCTTGGCGAAGCATCAACTTTGCCGATGCACCATCTCGCCACCGATTATCGGATTCTTATAATATTCACAGTGAAGCCTTATTATGGTCTTAACTTTCTGCTAAGAAATTTTGAAAGGGATCAGATTAACCTTTGAGGAGCATAACATGTGAGGAGCAGGGTGTAAAAAAAACATTCAACTTCCTGTTTTCCCTAGGTGGCGCTATGTCTATGGTTAAAAATGATCTCATGGATGTCTACAGGCTGAGAAGTTCATGCTATATGAGAAATATGGAGCAGATTAGATAAAGTATGATCGAGTTAAAACAACTTCAATTTTCATGCCGAATGGTGGTTTTTCAAAAATGCAATCGAACATAGCGTTTTTCACCAAATTAAAAATGGCAGAAAATTTAATTAGGCACATTTGCATACCATGATTGACTTCTGGCCGACCATGATCTGACTACTTCGCAGAGCATGTCCAAGAGCACATGTGTGCCAAATTTCAAGTCAATCAGGCATTGGGGGAAAAAGCTGGCCTAGTGTGGCCCTATAGGGGGCGCTATAGGGACATTTCTTCATACTCAAATGCGAAACCCCCAAATTATCAAATTTTTCACCAGTTCTGATATGCATGCCAAATTTAACAACTTTTTGAATATGACAAAGGCCTCAAAAAGGGAAAATTCCTTAGAGAAAATAATAATAATTCCATAAAATACAATGCGAGGACCCTAATTAAGATTTTCAATGTATGCATGGCGGAAGCCAAGTGTCACATGGTTCATCTTCTGATCAGTGTGTAGATCAGTGAAGTGTAAAGTATTCAAATTCAATTTGTACTCATCAAAAAAAAAGAGGAAAGATTAGGCTAAAACTTTTCACCACGAGTAAATCTACCTTTTACATAATAAAATATTTGGAGTTTCAGAAAACTGCCTGTGGGCTACACAAGTGGAAGCCTTTAAAGACTACTAATGAGCTATTATTGGATGAGAGGAAGGATGGCAAAGGGACAGGCCAAGCAGAGGCTGCCTTAAAGTCGGACCAGCCCATCGGGAGTCACCAGGCGAGCCCCAAACAATAGCAGCGCCTCTCAAAGTGCAAATGGTCCGATAACCTCTGCAGAGGCCGCACTGTCTCACTTTGTGTAACACAGGATCCAAATTTAACTGTTCCCGACCTTTTTATACGAGCGGCTGATGAATTGCGGAGCTACACAAAAAAAAAAGACCCTGCGTGTCCATTGTGCATGCAGACTCTGGCAGGAGACAATGGCGGGTCACTGCAGAGGGCTTGAAATAATCATAACAATGACAGCTCCCATATTTATAGTTGTAAAGAGACCTAAACTGAACTGAACTGCAGCGCCTAAGTGCTTTGTTATTAACAGGAAGAGCGGCTCCCTGTGAAGAATAAACAGCACTTCTCTTTACTGGGTAAATCGTGGTGGCGTGTTTCATAGTTTCCCCCTCAGTGAGGTCATGTCTAATGAAAAAGTTAAATACAGTACTGAAACCAGTGTAGCTGAAAGCACAAATACAATACATACAACAACAACAACCCCCCCAAAAACACGCGAAAATGGGAACACAGAGAAGGAATTTGTTCAAAAATGCCTTCCTAAGCACCAGTAGCCAGACCGAGGGCACTGGGTCATCTTGCATCTGCAGCGCTCTTCCTGTGTGAAAATGGGGAGGGGTCACGGGGGGGATAGAATCAGGCACCGTAACAGAAAGGGAACAGAGTGTTGCACATTGACGACGATCAAAAAGAGATGCAAGAACCGGCAAAAACGAAAAGGTCTTCTCTGCATCATTTCATAAGAGGGCAAGCTACTTGATTGGATGCCCTCAGGTCACCAGGATGGAGACAATCAATGAAGCTCTTCAGATTAGATGTCTAAGAGCTCGGTGCAGAGAGTCCACCTCACTGTAGCTCTCAGTCAATATGTGTGATACAGGATGTGGGCATAAGTAACACTCCATTGTGAGGTAAGCCGAACAGAGAAAGTTAGTCAGGAAATGCTTGCAGGGCCCTCGGTCGCACGGAAAGGAGTCACTCGTTAGCTGCTCTGCTGGCACGCATGTTCAAAACTAGATCGTTGTGGCATTTTCGTGTGCTCACAAACAAAAACACTGCGGCACGTTCTGACGCTCGTCAGTGCAAAGCGTTTGACCATCAAACTGATGCGACAACCCAGCTGCTGACACTCAGGTCCGGAGTGGTGCACACAGGAGCAATTCATTCAAAGAGAAATTCTCCTTTTTTACCCAATTCTAGCCAACGAGATGCAGTAGACACGACTTCACATCCTTCCTGCAAGAGGAAAAAGCCCCTGTTCAGCTGCTTGTTTGGCTACATATTTTCACTAGTGCAACTTCAGAAAATAACCCTAACCTAATAATTAAAGGGGTGGACATTAATAAATCAAAATCATTTGTTGGGACAGTTAGAGAGGTGCGTTTCTCAGTTTTCTCTGGTGTTGCTTTATATAATCCATTCTAATTGTCACAACAGCAAAACAGTGTGAGATCCTGTTGTTTTTTAGACTCAGTAGTGTTGAAAGGCCAAAGAAAGAAAATTGAAATAAAGCACAAAGAAAGATACCAACCACATACAGCACATTGTGCTGTTGCCTACTTGCATACTCTGAGGCCTCAGTTATTATGATACTCAATTAAATGACTTATTGCAGTTTATAACAGAAAAGCTTTAAGAAACATCAGCATGTTTGCTTTTGTAATTCTCCATACATTTCTCAACGCTTTAGATTCTGTGAAGATATCACTTATAGTACACTTTTGAGTTTAGTTTAGTTCCAATTTCAGTCTCAAGAAGTAGTATAGTAGTGAGAGGATAAAAAAAACTTCCCATAAAACCTGAATGCAGACATAAAGTTCAAGGTGAAACTCCTCCGCATACATTAGAATGCTGACCAGACGAAGTCATGCTGGTGTTGTGACTCGTACGGCACTTTATCTGCATCCTTGCTAAACATGGACATTTTTGGAGGTACAATGGAAAATGAAGTAAGAATAAAAAAAAGAGGGCAGGGGGCTGGGGGAGAGGGGTGGGGGGTGGGATTTAGTGCGTTTTCAAGATAAGGGGCGAGCTGTGGCCCCAGGCTTCCTCAATAAAACACATCGTGGGCAGATATGTGGAAAAAGACAGCGGAGTCCTCTCGACAGCCAATCAGAGGCCTCGGCCACTGGAGGAACTTTGGCAGCATGATAATCCATCCCTGGTGTGACTGTTAATGGTGAATCAGCACCATTATGGTTCAGTTGCCTCAAGGGTCTGAACTATATCTGTATCCTGCCAAGCCCAAACTGTCACGGGCGAAACCTGTTTTTTTTATTTTACCAACTTGTCTGCTCTCACTCCACATTGCTGCGCTCCTAATTGGGCAAAACAAAGACCCCAACAGCTTCCACTGGTTCCCTTTTATTAGCTGTGTTTATGCTCTTTAGAAGGTGCTAATTGCTAAGAACTTAGTAGGATGAGCACTCCCAAAATTGAGCTGACTATATCTGATTCTTAATATAAAAAATGAACTGACTCTCGCTCCCGACCAACGCCCACGGTTCACATCAGTGATTTCACCTCCACCTAGTGGTTTACAAATATGCGGTCATTCTCCTCCGTGTCTGGACCATTGTTTGGGTTGTTTGTGTCTCGTCGAGGGGTAACAGACAAAGGATACTAATGACTGGGCATGTTTGGCGTACTTATCAAATTGCGCAGGAAATAGATATCAAAAGGCGAGGGCGGGCTCAGAGTGGCGTGACCCCGTGGAGACCCCGCTGCTCTGAGTAATACTTCCTGCTTCCCTGACAAAGGCAACCAAGAAGCTTCCAGACAGCCTCAAATCTCCTGGGAATGTTATTGTTGGTAACCAGACCAGTACGCGGCAGATCAAATGGGAGGCAGAGAGCGCACACACACACACACACACACACAACACATTTTTATCTCAAACATCTTTATGTAAGAAAGGTTCTTACGATAACAATATCCAACTCACATTGTGGTGTTTTGTTGGATTGGGTTCACACGGATCTGTGCAAAGTCTCACTGTGAGCTCCACTGTTTTTTGGTTTTGTTTTATAAACTTGGATAGAAAGATGCTATTGTAGTTGGTCCTCATTTACTGCATCGAGACGTGGTCTCAAATACACAATGTGAACTTTACGCCATTTAGTGTGTTGAGGGAATGTAAACAACTTTTGATTGTGCAGGCTCAGGACAAAACGAGGCTTTAGTGTTCCGAAAACATTTTCTCAACTTCCTCCATCCAGTCGCACGCAGAGTCCTCTTCAAAGTCTCTGTGAAGCAAGGAGAACCGATACATTTGAACTCTGTTATCATAATAGAGATCGTACAAAAAAAGAAACGATGCATTCCATGCATTCAAACAGAGATTTACACCCCCACAATCCACCCGCCCTTTATGCATTCACATTTAAAGAGCATTTCAGTAACGAGTATTAGGATAGAATGAAACCGGACGGATGATTAAGGAGTTAAGGGGACTCACGTGTCCTCGTCGTCGGAGCGCGGCTGCAGTCGCTCCTCGTCCTCGGCCACATTGGGCTCACCGCCGTCCGTGTCGTCCCCCCGCGGCTGGGAGAGGGGTCCCACCAGGGGGTCGTCGACTGCAAAAAGAGAAGCCCGAGAGGACTGTCTATAGTCTAACAAGAGGGGAAATGACTTCGACGAAAACCAAATACCACGTATTGAGACGTCATCAGACCTCCTGAGTGTATCAAAAAGGTGCTGGAGGCTCTGCTGAGCCGGGCCTTCTCCAGCAGAGCCAGAAGCCTCTCGGGAGGATCCTTTTCCCATCGTCTCCTCGGCCTGCTGCCCTCCGGCTCCTCTGACGCACCCGGGAAAAAAACAGGGACACAGCTGATTACACTCTGGTGCTGTACGTCGTCCTGCGCGGTTGGACGTTGCTGCAACTGTCCTGTACCTGGCTGGTCGGTGGATGGCTCGCTGTCGGACGAGGCGAGGCTGGCATCGGCCAACATCTGGCGCGCGGTGTCCGACGGCTCAGCCGCCCACCGCTTTCGGGGAACCGGCCTTCTGCTTTCGCAGCGGGCTTCGGCGAACTCCTCTGCTGAAGTAAAAGGTCTCTTAACTGAATGTAAAAACAAACATAACATCATTTTCTTTTTTGTTGTTGTTGTTGACAGCACTGCTCAACTCTACCTTCACATGTTGACATTTCTATTAAACTCTTCTCTCCAAGGAGACCAGCCACGTTCTTCCCCTCCTCCCTGTTCCACCGACCCGTGCGCCTCCCCTGCTCCTGCGTCTCCAGCGCCTGTGCGAGATTCAAAGCGCTGCAGTAAATCGCGACACACAGCGTGACGCCAAGACGTGGCCATCTGCGGCAACAGCGAGGGCCACGTTCCACCCGGGGAAAGTTGTGCAAGGGCTTGACGTCTCCACGTTGACACCACGGCGTGTCGGGCTGATGCACGAGCGGCCGTGAAGGAAATCCCCCTCGGGTTGAAATGTCTGCGGCGAGTGTGTGTTGGCTGCGCCCGTACCTGGGGGGGCAGGTGCGCACGCAGGAGTCTGGAAACGCGGTGGGAGGTCAGGATGCTGTGCAGGGACGGCCTGTCTTTTGGGTTCGTCTTAAACATCTGCTTGAGCAAATACTGCAGCTCGTAGGGAAGGCGACCGGGGAGGGGAGGGTACGCACCCCGACACACCTTAAGGATCAAGCTCCTCCAGCTGGACGCCTGGAACTGGACACGCAAAGAGGGAGGGGTGAGGCTTCGCGGCCCGCCATCATTCTACATCAGTGCTTTGTGATATCTGGCTGTGATCTGAGAGGGGGCAGCCGGAACATCGCACACAAAGTTTCATTGACGATATTTGGAGCGGCGAGAAGGAGGAAGGGGAAGTACCGGGTGTCGCAGGGTGCAGAGCTCGTAGAGAACGCAGCCCAGAGACCACACATCACTGCAGGACACACAAACACAGAGAGGGTTATTCATCCACTCCAGACATTAGTCACGTACAGGCAGGGGGAAAAAGAGAAGCCGCATGATGAGACGCATCATGGCTTTGGACACACGCTCTCATTCAAGTGCGTCTCCAAGCGTGTGGCTGCTGCTGTACGCGGATGGATCGTCAATCCGGAAAGGAAAGTCTTAGCGAACATGGAAATTGAGGAGAGATCATGACAATTTCTTTCTTTTGCCGTTTTTGAAATGCTCTCCTGACCTTTGATAGCTGGATTTTTGGAAATGGTTCGTGCTCGTAATTATGCAGTAATAATGTACATATAATGTACATATTGTGATTAGACATTCTAATGTTTGTATCCTGCTCCTCTTTACCTCATGTCTGTTACTTGCAAGGCTAAATTTCCCTCGTGGGAAATAATATTGGAAATATTCTGCACTGATGCTCAGAAACGTAAATGATGTGCACATTCTGCAGAAATCTCATAATTCATAGACTAGTGTGCCTAATATTCCTCATAGACCACCGTTAGCCCGGATGGTGTCTTGTATGTATATGGACCCCTGTACCACATTTTACTAAATATATTTATTCATTAGATTTTCTTTGGTTCTATAAATGGGGGGGGGGTTGGGTTACCCAATTAATACTCTCTATTGCAATGACCCATTTTCCTTAAATTAGCATTGATCCAAGTGATTAAGGTTAAATGTATTTTATATTTAAAAGTAAGACGAACTTGGTAAAATACCTCTTATTGTTGTATGGTTTGTTGTCCCAGATTTCCGGAGCCACATAATACGGTGTCCCAACATATGTATGTGCGTATGCCTTCGAGCTGCAACATAATAATAAAAGAAAATGATCACATCACAAATGCAGCAGCAGCAGCAAATTGAGCATTGATGTAAAAAAGAAAACATTCAAATTGTGGCTGTTCTCTTCCTGTACCTGTTCAGAATACACGCCGAACCAAAGTCCCCAAGCTTGATTGTCCCATTATCTGTCAGGAAAATGTTCTGGGTACGGAAATGAAAAAGAAGTGATGACTAGACGCGAGGACAAAACAAGAGCAGCCACAATGATGATATTAAGCAAGTGGCAGGTGATGTTGTCATCTTAGCTCCATCAGCAATTTCATCATTGTTCGATTTACTCCACACCTCTCACACTGATGAGATTAGATGAACTTCCTGTTCAGACACGCAACGGAAAGTATCGACATGTACAATCGCTATAAACTACGATGTCTGCAGACTACTGCTACCTTGGACTTCAGATCTCTGTGCAAAACCCGCTTGTCGTGGATGTGCACCGCGGCAGCACACATTTGAGCAAACCACCTCAAGATCTGGAAACGAAAGATAACAATAAATAAAACACAAACTACATGTAGTTCCATGTGAAACATAAACACGGTGGGAATAGTCGGATGAGGTCGAGGCTTACATCTTCAACGCGGAACTGCGTCGTTTTTTGTTGCCGGATCCTCTGGAGCAGATCTCCTGCACTGCAGTACTCCATAACAATACACAGGAGGTCGTCAGCTGAACAAACACAATCACAATGTCTGCGCTGCAGTCCAAAACCACAATAACTGTATGTCTTGTTATCAGAGAGTTATCTTTGTGATTACCTTCGAATGCCTCCCTGAAGGCCACGATATGAGGATGTTTCATTCTTGACAGCAGGATGGCTTCTCTCCGCGAATTCTCCAATTTGGAGGGATTCTATAAAAATGCAAATACAATCATGGATGCATTCTCTATTGAACAAAACAATCAGTCTCCACGTCTCGGTGCTAGGCCGCAATCTGGTAGTGTACCCGACCCCGGGGACACAACAGTCTGGAATGAGGGGGTCTGCAAGCAGGATTGTTTTACACGCTGGTGCAAATCCAACATCTTCTTGCGCGTAAAACACTGTTTATAACTAGAATGTTTTTTTGTTGTTGTTTTTTTTATAACAAAGGCTTGATGCGTTTGGGGGGGTTCCGTTTGAGTTACAATTATTTCGCAGGTGATGGAAAGGCAACAGTAGTTAGTAGTTATATGCGTGTCTGAAAATACCTTCGGCAGCTGGACCTCCTTGACCACATACTTCTCCTGAGTGCTTTTGCAGCGGACTAACAAAGCCCGACCAAAAGACCCCTCGCCGATGACTTTCTGGAGTGAGTATCTCTCCATAACAACCACCGGGAGACGAATTACATCTAGTCTAGCTAGAAAGAGCCGATGGAGGCAAGAAGGTTGTCTTGTTCTGGGCTCGCACAACAAAATCTTCCCGACTCGTGCCGTTTGCTTTGCCGCTACTTCCTTATTATCAAATGACGTGTGTAATATTCACATGCGCTGCGCAGCTCCGCCGCTAGATGGCGGAGGAGTATAGTCTCTGCATCCTGCACAGCATGTGACGTATTTGTAATTAAAATGTCGTTATTACAATTAGTCTGAATTTTTTTATATTATCACATTGTGGTGAGCTTGTTTTAACTGCGTCGGGAATGTTTTATTCGTTTCCTCTTGTATTATATATATACTATGTCATCTGTTTTCCAACCTATCGCTCTACACCATTGTGTCCACATTTAGCTCCAATGTAAATGTTGCTTTCCGACGTTGCATAGTTTGCTCCTCCATCGACGATTAACTTATTCAAAAACTACAGTGCGTTTTTTCTATTTTTATCTTTATTGCTGCATCTTGCAGTCATAGCTCGTGATATTTCATTCGGGTATAATCTCAGACTTTTAATCTGAGGGTCCAGGGTTCAAGTCCCTGTTCGGGCGGACATCTTTTCGACTTTTCTACAAACTACAGAGTTAATATGCACATGTTTACAGACGTTTACACAATGTCAAGATCTTTCAGAAACATCTTTACTTCTGACAAAGCAATGAATAGAGACCATAACATGGAACGCTCTTTTTACACAAATGTAAAGTGTAAGTCAAACGTTTTGTAGGTCAGGGGCTGAAAACACACAGAAAACTGGCATGCAGCAGAATACCCCAAACATCTTGATCAAACATCAAAAACCAGACGCGTTTAATAGCCCACCGATTTCACAGTGGGTCCAAATGTCTGATATTCGCTCGTCACCTCCAACATTTCTCAAGCAATTGCTCCTCCGCCAGAGAGATGTAAAGGCAATAATGAGGTAAATATTGTGCGCGGTTCAAGAGTTTGTCTGCAGTTCCTTGATTACGTTGTTTACTATAAACAGCCTTGTTGGAGCTGAAAAAAGTGAAAAAAGTTCCAATCCAATTTAATCGCAATCCCTTCACGGACCGCCGGGGGCCGGAATCGATCCCTTTGACGCGCGGCGTGAGGCGCAGTGATTTAGATCCACATCTTCTATCGCAGTCTGACTCACATCACACTCCATGACAGACAGACAGGCAGACAGACAGGCAGACAGACCAGCGCGCAATGTTATGCGAATCGCTGTGTCTTTGAAGAGTGGCGAAAAGCCCACAGTCTGATCCGCAGAATAAGAGAAAGGCAAAACTGAAGCTTGAGCCACCACTGCTTTAATTAACGATCTTTTGAGCTTTTTCTCACAGATGGACGATTTCTTTCCTTTCAGACGAGACACTGTTGGTATTATATAATACACAAGCACTCTCAAGCATAGGATAACTGCCACCTCCAGCTGGTGATTTCCAGAAGTGAGTCATAGTCATAATAAATCGTGACTTTACTATACTTAAAAAAAACCACTTATAAAACCACTTACTTTTTTCCTTATAGAGAAAAACAATACATGTGCACATGTATGTGTTCCTATGCAAAGATCCATTCAAATTGTTTGAATAAAACCTTTTTTAAATGTATATCCACTGATCACAATTCCTATACTCATCAAGTGGTCATGTAACATTTTCCAGGAGTCCTATTCAGGTTCTTTTAGAGACCTGTGAGGTATTTTTGATAGATTTACCACAGCACCATAACACGTGTGGTAAATTACCACAGAACATGTGCTACGTTCCTCTGATAGATGTCCCCAAATTCCACACAAGTCTCTGAGTACCACAGAAAGACGAAAATGCCCCAGGAACACAAAGCAAGCACCAGAGGAAGCCCCCCAGACCACGGGCTACTTTCAAAGCAGAACCCACTGGGGAGGTTTTGTTATGGGTTCCACACCAACTATATTTAGTGCTTTAAACGCCATGCTCTGTTATTAAGTGTTATTTACTAAAGTAGCATGCAGCGGTGTTTTTCACTGCACACACAAACAACAAAGGCTGGGCGGTGATTTTCATTTGCTGTCTTAGTTAAATAGGTCTCTAATTTCTGAATAGGTATATCTTAGTTAAATAGCTGTCTGACTCCTGCATATATCAGTTGTCTTAAAGTAACTTGACAAAACAGCGTTTCACAGTTCGGTCTATGTTTACTTGGGATTAAGCGATCCGAGGCTGGATTCTTACACATGAAGCTGCATATTTACCCGTGGCCAGAGAGCTGTTTGTGACTGATAAAATGCTGGGATTAACTCCATCATAGACCTTGTGGATTAGCTCCGCCGGGACAGCATTGCACGGGGACAGGTGATGTACTTCACATGAGCAGAGCCTCCTGAAAAGCACGACAGGAGCAAAGCATTGAGACCATCCCACACAGGGTCAGAACAGCGGCCGACCGGGAGCTCTCGAGCTTTTGATGAAGGATAAAATAATCTGCATGTCTCTCCCGGGAGGATTCTGTACTCTCCCCCTGTGCGGCAGAGGGCTGATGGCAGAGTTGATTACACTGAAAAGTGCTCCGGTGCTGCAGCAACAACAAGATAGAAGCCCAGCGAATGATGCCCTTGCATCTTCTCTGACAAAATTTCACATTCAAGGAGCTCTTCCATATAGCGTGCTGAAATATTTGCATTCTGTTGATTGTGTCTTATGTTCGATCCATATAGGTTTTTTTTTTGTTCCACGAGTCTTTGAAGCTGGATTTCTTTTCTTTTTTTCTCGATTGGTTCAACAGAGGGGGTCCATATGGGGAACCGTAAGCTTCAAGACGCTCACCATGTTTCGTTTTCTTCCTTGAGACCTTGCCTAGAACTGTGATTTCAGTTCTCTGGAAATGTGTGAGCCGTTACTTTCGGTTTAAAAAAAAAGGTATAACTTTGCGGTTTGAAGCTCAACTTGAGTTAGCCAGAAGTGATGAAAGACTCCATTCACTGACTCTGTGGGAGGACACCAAAAGCTTTGCATTCTCGCTTCTTTCCTTGCATCCCTGAAGCGCCACTGTGCTCTTACCAGAGAAAAAATAGGAGATGAGGGAATGAAGTGCTGCAAAGGGGGAGTAAGTAAACGGGGAGGTCATTTGGGTATTTATATGTTTAATTCTAATGAAGTAATCCTCTATCCCGTTTCATTTTATGCACATATTAGTGAGGAGCTATCGTCCTACATGCAGATTAGTGATAACCTTCTGTTGCAATCCGCACATTTTTCTCAATTTGTCTCTCTTTTGTTGATAATTACATTTTAGTTTAGAGGCCCTGCAAAGCAATGTTAAACCCACACGGGTGCCTTTAAAGGAGCATGACGCTTCTTGATTGACATCTCTTTGACTCTTTAGTTAGCTTTAGTGCACACACGCTGTCACAAACGACACCTCTAACTTGAGCCTTTTCCCGCATTAGACGTTTTGACAGGTGTAAATGGATACAAATGAAGGCTGGCGGCATTCTGTTTGGTTTCAGAGTCCGGCTTTCGTGCACGCCGGCTCCCTGTCACAATGTCACGGCCTCCCGGAGACGCCTTGAACGGGGCCGATCTCACGTTAACGTTGTCCTGATCGCCCGTGCTGGGAGAAAAGCCTCCACTCATGGAACCCGGGGCGAGCTGCTATCCCCTAGACTCGGAAACACCTGTGTGGGTGTGTGTGACCTTTAAAAGGTAAACAGAGCCGCACTGTAAATATGGAGGAGACTGACATTTTGTCTTATTAAACACGCCCCTTGGGGTATATAAAGGATTGCCTTTTGTTTAAACAAACTGCTAATTTCAAAGGGAAATAAGATAACTGACACGCCACTCATTTGCTATTCCCTAATAACAGGCAGGCAGGCTAAGGCACAGAAGGAAACCCAAATGGGGTAACCTATTTAAATAGGTTTTGGCCCAAACCGCTGACCTTTCTGGGCAGCACTAAATTGTTTTCATTGTGAAATGTGAAACACCCGGGCGCTTTTCTTTGTTCTTGTGCTGCAGATACTGCACTCGATCACATATAGTATGTTACACATTGCCGACAGACCACTATTTTGCTGCACAGGCACTATGTGACGGCCGGCACGGCTCACTATCTTGCCAACCTGCAGCACTATTAATTAATGATGCGATATCTTTATGGAGATAGTAGTACTAGTAGTAGTAGCACAAAACCTTTTATAAACAGAGTTGCTCTTAAGGGCAGTAATTATCTCGCAAGGGTACTGTCGAGGAAAGAAAACTAATTAGAAATGAATTAATTGATATCTTACTGGGTGTACTCTATAAAAGTGATTCAATGCTTTCTCCCTTAAAAATCCCCAAAACTATGATGTTAAAACAGAGCACAATTTAAGGCTTTTAATCTGTCGTTGTGTTGCCTGTGACTTCAGCAGCATTCACTTTGGGGTATAATTTGTTCTCGCTGGTTTTCCACATGTTCTCTTGCAATTTTCTTTAAGGGAAATCAATAAGATAATTAAGAAAATAACCTTTTAATGCTGGCTGTATTTTTAGATCCAGCTACTCATTTGCAGCCTCAAGAGATAATCCATGAAGTAATCCTGCTGGTCCTCCCAAATCATAGACTAAATAGAAAAACAGTAATCCATGTAATTTCTCAAATTGATACATCCTTTATTTTTTTAGTTTGACTAGAAGTGTTAATTTCTATTTACTTCTTGGCTCCGCTCATTAACGGGATTGCATTTTGAGTATCAGCATCAAATGCTCAGATTATGAAAGTGAGATGCGAGATGTGGTCCTCACTGTATTAATAAAATGATACTTTAAAGTGCTCAGATCAGAAATCAGTTCCAGCAGTTGTAACACCCGTTGTACTCATCAGTGGACCAGAGCAGCAGCACTTCCTCTGTTACGACACGTTTCGCACGTTTCAAGACAATCGTCCTCCTACGAGTAAGATCGCGTCTGTCAGTCTGAGGTTCGGGTACTGATGTAAAAAAAGCGGGAACGCTCCAACTTAACCCCATTGTGTCAGCCTGTGCTGATGAAGCATCTGGTTGGAACAATGGCGCCTGATATCAATCAGCACTGCAGATCAGACGTGAGCGCGAGCAGAATGCAGAGGAGCCGTGCAAACATATTAAACAGAGGATGTACTGAGAGAGAGTATTCTCAAGTGTGGAGGGGGGACATTATCCGGGGGAGGCGGCGCATTGTGAGAAATTGGGTATGCTTAATAAATAACGCGGGCCAAATACTGCTCTGTAAATGAGCTGACTGGAGCTGGGATGAAACTCTGAAGTGTTGTTTGTTAATCAACGGTCCAGTAAAGTGAAGGGGATCGACGAAAAGGACTAAAAAAAATAGGGATCGGAAAGCTGTGAGCGGCTCACATACAGCTGTGGTAATTGGTATGAAAAGGTTACCGTTCTAGTTATTCACACTGTGAAGACAGGTGGAGGAACTCCGGAAAAAAAGTCCTTGACATTAAGCCCCATGATGCGCGGCTACTTCATGTCATACGTGATCGCATCTCCGGCTTCGCCTGAAAGACTCGAAAGCTTTGAGTAAGTTGAGTAACCAGATCAAAAGATAAATAATCTGTCGGGAGGTCGCAGGATCAATAATGGGGAAAAGTTCAATTCACAAGCACTGCTCGTCGTCATCCTCTTTATTGATTGTGGGGTGATAAACAAAAAAAAAGAAAAAAAAAGAAAAGATTCCCACTTGTAGTGAACACTACAGGGTCAAAAGGTCATGAGAAAAGCTTTTCAGGAATGTGAGAGGATGCCTGTTCAGTTATTGTTTCACCAAAGTCACTTTAAATACGACATTTCGATAAACATTTATTTACAAAACAAAGATAATGACAAGGAATACATTGGAAGAATACAAAACATGTGCTAATATGATAAAATACATTATTGTACACGACGTATATCATCTTATGAATGTGTATAATAAACTATGCTTAGACTTTTGGGATCTGAAACGGTTGAGTCGAAGGAAGCAGGCAGCCAGTGTTGGATTGCTTTACATTATAAGGATTATTGCATTTCACTGTGTTTAAGGCAAGGACGAGACATGAAAAGGACACAGAAACACTTCACGTAACAATGATGCAAGATGACTTTTCTCTTCATTATCACAGGGCACGAAACATCAATAACTGAAGGGGAGAAGGACAAAAGAAAAAAGCCAGAGAATATTCTTTAAGAAATGTAACAATTTTACAAATAGAATTGGTCCGTACATCTTTCACTTAAGAACAGCTCTTGAGAGAAGAACGTGTTTTTCAAAGCCTTGTGTGCGTGCGTTTGTGTTGCATTATGAAACAGTCCCTGCAGTTGTCAGATGAGTTGTGTCCCATGATGCACCATAACGACTTGGTGTCTTTGGTGCCTGATGTGCTGTACTGGTGCGAGTCCACAGGGCCGGATTCCTCTCCCGGGGTCTCTTCCTGTCCCTCCCCTCTCTCTCCCCCGATGGTCCCTTCAGTACGGGTACTGCTTCTTCTTCTTCCCCGCGAAACAAGACAGCCAGGTGCACAGCAGCATGGCCACCGCCGCCCCCGCCCCTGTGCAGTAATACGCCCAGCCGATCTGGCAGGAACCTGCAGAGGAAAGCAGAGGATTGTGGGTGAGATCTTTCCGCCGTTGCGTTTTCTCCGTCCTGTCACTCGGCATCTCCAAGGACCCATGAATGGATTTCAATTAATTTTAGAAAGATAGGCCTTTGGCCAGGGAACAGGTGATTCCATTTTTAGGAGTAGTATCGTCAGTTCTACAATAGGCAAAAGAAATAGACAATTTGGTTTTTAACAAGGCTTATTTATTGTGTTTGTTACCTCGGCTGTTCATTGCTCATCCCAAAGTGGAAACACTTGGTACTGGTCAGCAGTGTATGACTGGATAACTGAGTGGTTTTACATAAGAAGTTATTACTTAACCCCAAGATTGTAAATGTTTAGAGAACATGACATCATGGCTGCGGATGAATGAGCATGAACGTTAAGGACACCGCCTTCTGATAACATCATGTCTACGGTCTGTGTCTGTACGAATAATAGAGATGTTAATGTTTTACCTTTGATTCAAAATTAAGTTTTAATTACACCACTAAGTACAGCACATGGCACCCTGTGTCCTTTTTTTTTTACCCTTACATAAGATGAGGAAAAAGGTCCTTGAGTTGAGAACCATAAAATGTTGTTCAAGCCGTAACATTTCCCTTCCTCTTGTGGAAAAGAGTTGGCCCTGGTGAAACAAATGCACTGGACATAGTTAACTCTATTTGCAAACAGACAGTGTGGTATGTGCCAAATGTGCTCTCACAGCACAGACTTTTGGAAAGCACACCAGAGGCAGAATATTCTGAAAGTGAGCCAAAAACAAGCCCGTATTAAAACTTAAAGGGCCTCTTTCTCTAATCCTCAAAAGGGAATTATGTGCACTATTAAAATAAGGATCTGACCTAAATCTGCCTCAAACTCTGGAAACGTTCAGATGACCATCAAGACTTCTCATAACAAACATCCAATTTGGTGGAGAACGCCTGATTGAATGTAGTTATCCGACTACTAGACGTGGGGCGGAAGGAGAGGCGTCTCATTGACGAATCAGATCAGCTCTCTTCTCACTTCCCATAAAACCCCAACCCGCAGAAGACCATTATTTCTCAGAGTCCCATTTTTTTTCCTTTTTAGCAAATTATTCTCTGCGTCGGCATTACTGAAAATGAGCTTCGGCTCTTTTGAAAACGTAGCTGTGGTTTAATAACCATCCACGTGGTTTGGGAGTATTACATTTGAAAAGATGTCAGGTCAAAGCAATGACTTGAATCTTCCATGCATTCATTCTTTGGACGTAAGGGTGATAAATGAACCGCACTTTTTTTTTTTAAATTTCACATTGAACATGCACATGTCTCACTTGCAGCAGTGAGACACGAGCAACAGTCAAAGCTGACTTTGAAGGTACCGACTGCTCTGTTCATGATAGAGGAAGGAGTCTACGTTGTTTGAAATGCCGTGCAGAGCATCTCGGTGTCGTCATGAGACAGTGTTGTCATGGCGTACAGGTGAGACAAACTACAGTGGAGCCGTCAACTAACCGGGAAACCAATGCAAACGCACCACAAACGCAAGAAACAATATGTACCGACAAGAGCCGGTTCTTATTGATCGGAATTGTGAATTTCAATCCGACAGAATTGAATGGAAATGGACTGGATTTCATGTTGCGTGATCTATCTGCTCACATATTTGTATATTGATATTACTTGTAATTCTCTGTCAATTCAGAACTTGTCATTGAGTAACATTTAGTCAAATTGACAATTAGATTTCACATCGCACTGGGGTCATTTTCTGGGACTGCATGGAATATTTACCATTTGAATGTGAATTAACTCATTTGTGAATTATCTGAGTAAACATTGTTTTAGAAAGAAAAGATGGAGAAAAAAGCTTAATAAATTGAAGTAAACGGGGGAGAAGTTTCTTCTTAACAAGTTGCTTTGTTGCAGGTTGCACTTTCTTTGCTGTTACCGGTTCAATGAGCACACATCTTAATGCTTGAGGAAGAAAGGAGGAAAAAACTCGCTCACTCACTTATTTCCTAGAAGAAAAAGGAAAAAAAAACTTACAAAAGTGTCAGACTAGCGTATGTTAATGTAAATTGAAAGAGAAAGCAAATCTATGCCTACCTGATCACATAAGTAATGGTCTCCACAGCTCTATCAAAAATTTACCTCTGACATTTAATTAAACTACTACAATCACGCCGAGTGATTTTTCTCCGTTAAGTAGAAGATCAAACACTATTTGATTAGCATCAAATAAAAAAAAGCAGCTGCAGAATGAATCGCCCCTCCACCGGCCCAGCATCTCTTACAGTAGCATCTATCAAGCAGTCCTGACAATGCTAGTTGAATACAGAGCACCAATCTGGCTCCTGCTTTATTCTCAACACCTATTTAGAGATTTTTTTAAAATGCAGAAATGGCGAGCAGCTACACATTCTGTTGAATTTTTATTGTTTTTTTTGTATCTCTTGGGTTTTCAGCTTGGACGAACAAATGTACACATTCATGGTTGAAGCATTGGGCAGAGAGCCTTCACATCTTCTGCCGCAAACTAATGACACACCTCTTCAGACTTTACCGTGACTAAAAACACTAACAAATTATAGCACTTAAATTGGATTTATAATGGCACTTAGCTATAACAAGTTGTGAATTGGCTTATTTGATGAAATCTTGTTTCTTGCTCTTCTGAGTTTGTATCCCTGTTGTTGAAATGCACTTATTGTAAGTCGCTTGGGATAAAAGCGTCATCTAAATGACATGTAATGTAATGTTGTGGCTGTGTGTGTGTGTGTGTGTGTGTGTGTGTGTGTGCGTGCGAGCGAGCATGCTGCACATCTCACCTAGTTGAAACTGTCCTGAGCTGTTGTTGCAGGTCTGTTGCACTTCCTCACTGACCCATCCCAGAGGATAGAGTGCGCAGCCAGATCCTATGAGCAGACCTGAGGATGAAAGAAAGAGAGTCCGTCAGCGATGAAGGGATCGAACCTGACGGCGAGGACACCGGCAAGGTGCTCACTCTGCATCCTTGTTGCTTTGCTCGGTGGATTTTCCTGATTTGAGAATAGTCTCATTAATGAGGAGGAAAAATGCAAAGCAGTGTTTGTTAATCAAAACTTTTGGTTTTGTTTGGATTCTGTTTTAATTAAAAATGATTAAAATGAGAACAAAAACAAGGAGCCACTGCTGTGACTGGTTTTGTTTTCACCTTATCAAACATTTCCAGCAGATACTAGTGAGGGGGGGCAGCTGTGACCTGATCCAACAGCTTTACCTAACAAGCTTCAAATCCATCTGTAAAATGACACGGATTATGATTTTAACACTGTCGCGCGTTTTAACCGCGACAAAACAAAGCAGCTCATAAAAAAAAGCTGCAAATAAACAAGGAACATATGCAAATAGCTTGGCAATTGCTCACAGAGGCTACAGAGGGGAAAAAAACCCTACAAAATCCAAGCATCTTTTTGGTGTGCAATAATTACTGTAAAACTCTGGAAAATCCTTGAGGGACTGCTTTACGTCGGTGATTAAATAGACTTATGACTGAGGAAAATCTAGTCAATTTACATTAAAGATTAATATCCAAAATATCACCCTACAGCCGGGTCTTGACAAGTTATTCCCCGGATGCCAAGGCCCGTCTCTTAAAATTACCCCGTAGGTGGCTCAGCCATCACATTAGCCTAATCCCCTCCAACGTGTCTACCCTTCTATCAGTTTTGGGATGTGAGGATGGCAGCAGAGGAAGGGAAGGCGAGAAAGCTCTGCCTTCCAACCTGATTAGCACTGCCATCCAGGACTGCCTTATTGCATATAGGCCAAGATAACAAGCAGAAATTAATCCATATGCTAATGCTGATGGGCCAGACAAACTGGCTAACATCAGGAGGTGGAGTTGGAGAAGTGAATATGACATCTGTGTTTTTCCAAAGCCGCGGACGAAATCACGGCAAATGTCATCCGCCCGTAAAAAAAAAAGAAAATTGACTTATTACGGCACCTGTGATAGAAAATCGAATTGGGGACGGTGTAAAAGAGGCTCCGTCCAGGTGTGTGTTCAGAGGGGATCCAGTGATTGTCAAACGTAACAACTCTGCTATTTCTTCTTCGACCCCCTTAAGGGGGAGTTACTGCTTCAGACCCAAAATGACAACATTTAAGTAACACAAAGGCATTCGATGTAAATCCCTGTGCGAGGCGCTACTGTGACAAACAAAAAACACGCCGTTCTAGTACAGAAGCAAGCGGGCACACGCACACACACAGTCTTAATAGTTATATAATGTCATCAAATGTGTTTTGATTCAAATTTGTAACAGCAAAGGCAATAAAGCATGCAAGTATGATAATGTATTCATGATTAATATTTAACCAAATCAAAAATTCCCTTTCAAGTATAATGCAGAGAGATACAGCAGCATGCAATCAAATTTGATTTCCTAACAGCACAAGGGGAATAAAAATAATGCAGTGCAGAATGTGGCTTTGTTTCCCAAATACATTGTTATTCAACCCTGCTCCCATTATCCATTTGAAGAATTCCAGATTGGGTATTGGGCATTTGCAGTCATTCTTTGACTAACCCATTTGTTAAAATGATCCAAACAATAAAGAGCTGCTGTTATACAGATGCCAACTTAGAACGCGGCAACTGAAGACTCAATTGTTTCCACATCAGGTCAGAAAATGGACTTGATGATGATAACATGTAACGCTGGCGGACTAAAGCTACACGGACGGCAGGTAAATTACTGTCAAAAGCTGAGTCCCGCTGTGGCACCACACGAAAAAAAGAATCAGAGGCTTCTGGGTGAACTGACAGTCTCGTCTGTTGTTTTTGGGGATAAACACTGCGGCGGGTGTAGTCAATGCGAGGACTCACTTGTTACCATGACACTGTGGAGACAGACACCGGGACACTGTGAGAGCAGATAAATATAAACACATCGCCACCAATTCCATACCGTATCATACGTGCCCCTATATTTCTCTTTTGGCTTTGAATTTCTTTATTTTTTTGCAACTATAGTTAATTCTGTCAAATCCCATCCTCCACACTCAGTGTGTGGGTTACTGAGTACCAGAGGTAGGGTGGTGGGTGACTGGGACGTGGGAGACGGATTACAAAGAAAGGAACACGTTCTTTCACACAATGTTTAGGAGGCAAGCTGCTCCTGGGAGAGACGGCTATAGTCCCCGTGCGTGCTGCTGGAGACAGACGCTTCCTGTCCTCCTCGTTTTTACGAACCGACATCCCGATCGGCACAAACAATCGGTTGGGGATTTGCGTCAGTTAGCGTGTGGTTGTCAGTGCTTCTCAACCTTTTTGGCTTTTGACCTCTCAAAGAAAAGCCTTCTCCTGACCTCCCATCAGAGTGTGAAGACACTTGTTTCCCCCCCAACCAAAAATGTTTTGACCTAATTCTGGTGTTCGGACCACCGGCTTGAGGAGCACTGCAAGCAGGAACACTACAATCACAAGCACTAAACCACGGTAAGAAAAAAAGATAATGATCACCCTGGGGGGAAATTAGTTCGGTGTAAAAAAAAAAACAGAAAGAAAAGCGAAAACACAAGTTAAATGAGAACAATCTAATTGCAAAGCAACTAGCTCTTGGATGTCATGCCGTAAAAAAGTGCAAATGCCTCAAATCAAAACACCCATATTGGCTTCTACAAATGTGATTTTTGCAAATTTCACTGCTTTACCCAGGGATGTTCTCTCTTCTCCTGCAGACAACACAATCTACTTCAAATCGCTCACTTCTCTGTGAGCAGATGGCCTCCTCATGATGAAATAATTTCAGAACTCCACATACGCTGCCATGACGGTTGTAGTGGAACAAGTCCCAGCGAGGCGGTGACTGCAGCCAGCACACAGCCCCTCCAATCACCCAGTGGAACAGACGGACGGGGAAAGATCAGATCGAGTCTGCCTTCAACCTGTGTCCGCGGCCGCCCAGCGCACCTTCCATCCGCGCCCTCGGGGTCAAACTCAAAGACGCCCCTGATCGTTCTACGAGATCGGCAGAGGTGGTTTCAATGCCGCTGTGTTAACTCGGGCCCGGGTGGTTTGTTTGTTTGCTTGCGTCGCTGCTCTCTGACCGCAACCGCTGTTTGTAAAGCACCTTCTTTCTGGACTCGGGTTGCAGTTGCTATGGCGCCCACCGGATGCTGATGGTCTTCTCAGGCAGAGGCGGTAGAGAAGACGAGGGTCAGGGAGAGAATGCAGCGAGGCCAGACGACTCACTCACAGATTGAGTTCCAATTGATCTCCATGAGGTCGCTTAATGGCCCCTCTGAAGGGTTATTTCATGAACTGGGATTCTATGGACTGGGATATAGTTCAGATGAACGAACTCAACCGAATACAATCAGTCCCACATATCAGTGTTCAATCCATAAAATCTCAGTGAACTTTCTTCTGCACATGGTTGCCTCGGATTTCATCATCGTAGTCGAGCTCACTTGTGAAATGGCTTTAAAAAGCACACAGAGAAGTACTTTGTTCCACCAGAGCTGCTGCATTGTTCCCCCGTCTTTTTTCTGTGGACGCTTTTTACCTGAATGAAAAACTGCCCCCTTTTCATTGCCCCACATTCTCTGATTTAGGGAGTGCCGATGCCTTTTGTCAAGCTTTCCTGCTCTCTGTCAGAAAGCAAAGCATTTCTTTGCCCTCCCTCCCGCTCCGAGACAATACCATTCAAGGTTATCATTCAGAAGGCCAAAGAGGACAAGTAGAAAGGGCTGCCGCTATAAGCTGGAGAGAATTTTTCGGTGGTCAGGGAATTTGGGTGGGGAGGGGCCTGAATGGGGCGGCTTAATGAAAGACATTCCCTTTTGGGATTGGATGATTATCTGAAGAAGAGAGAGCCACTTGTGGGAAGGCGGTTTAACAGAGACGTACTGATATCACCAGCGAAAGGTTAAACAGGGGGGCTAAACGGGGGGGGTTTAAGTTAGGAACCATGAGATTTTTCAGTATCAATCATCATACAGTGCACAGGTACGAAAGTTGCTGTTCTGGGTAATTTCTGCTAAAGGTATTAAACCTCACGTGCAAATACTGCGGTTACCTTGGGTCTAATTTTAGATGACATCACTATGACGTATGTCGTTACATGGTTCTCACGTACGTACGTGCAAATGTGATGTTATTCTGAGATTGGGTTCGAGGGACAGGTTGACAGGTGTTCCTTCCTCCCTAACAGATGTGACTCATCCGTCAACAGCACCATCCCGGCACGTTGAGGCATGTTTATTCTTTGTTCTCCCTTCAGTTGAAACACAAGGCCGACCTCGGCTCACGTTCCTGCTTCGCTTCTCTCCGTCATTCAGAGTTGGATCACCGCAGTCGTTTTCCGAAGGGCTCACTCTGACGTGAGCATTTCTCGCCGTTGAAGCGGTTGTTGGCTTTCACGCGAGCCAGCTGGGGGGACTGGAGATTCGGTTGAACCGTTTAAATCTGGAGCTCTGAGAGATGCAGGATGAGCAGGGCATACAGAGGAGGGGAAGGGATTTAAAGAGAGCGCGTGCAATGCGTGTGATATGTGATGTGCGAAGTGATGCATATGAATCCTGAAATTTATACCTCAATCATCCAGCTGACTGAGAGGTGTGTTCGTGGTGAAGGACGTCTTTCTGGTTGGACGACGTTTGCCTCCCAACTGTGACGTTTTAAAGGTTTACCCCTGTGTGATGGGTGATTACACATTTGATCTTCCAGTCTCGAATATGATACGCAGGGAATTGAATTACTGACCAGGACGGTGAGAACAGAGTTCCGGAAAACAAACCTCGGCTCTGACTATTCATTCAGTGTGTCCATCTCCTCCGTGGCAAATTTCTGCCTGTTCCCTCTGGAATCTGCTCCCGCCGGCCCGGGAAAAAAGGTCAGACAGTTACAAACAGTCCTTTTATTCCAGCAGCCGTCAAAGGA